ATATTCTAAGTTTATAATATATATATATTTAATAAAAAAATATATATTATTTAATCTCTATATTTACAATAAATTAATATATATATAATAGAAAAATAAAATAAAAATTTATGAGTATTTAATAAATATTATTAAATGAATACATTATATATAAATATATAAATATAAATTTATATATTTATATATATATATTTATATATTTCATATTTGAATAGTTAATAATATAATATCATTTTTAATAAACTAAACATTATAATCAATATCATGTAAATAGCATTTTAACATCATATATTTTTTTAATATTTAATATTTAATTTTATCTTAATATAATGAATTTTTAATTTATGTCAACTTACAAAAATTAAGAAATAAATATATTTTAATAAAATTATAATTAATTCTAAATTAATATTTAATTATTATCATTCATTTTATTCTAAGTTTATATTTATTAATATAAATTATTAAAATTTATTTATAAATACTTTAAATTAAAATAATATACTATTTATTTTAATTTTATTATTTTTTATTTCATCTAATTATGCAAATATCATATTTTAGATTATATGATAATATTATTATTTATTTAATTATATGAAATAATTTTGAATTTGTATAAAATTTAATAAAGTTTCACTTATAATATAATACTGTTTTATTATTATTTTAAGTATTATAAATAATATGTTTCACTTTAAATATAATATATTTTAATGTATAGTATATTTTTTATATATATTTATAATTATTTATTGTTTGTATTGTGATTCAGTAAAATATTATTTACCTTTTTTATTTATTTATTTATTAATTAAGCAAAAACATAAAATAAGTTAAAATAATGTAAATAAAATATATTTATATGAATATCAAAAATGTTTATAAAGATATTAAGCTTAAATTTATATAAATTATTATATATATATATATATTATTTTCATTATTTTTTTATTTAATTCTATAATTTTTAAATATGAATACATATTTACAAAATATTGTAGAAAAAATAAATTTAAACTTAATATTATATTTATTAATATTTATATTATTTAATAAATAGATATTTTTATTATTATTTATATTATATTATTATATTTTGATATTTTCATATATATTTCAATCATTTTGTCTTTTTTATTTTTTTTATTAAGATGATGATAATTCAGGTTTTTTAATTTATATTTATTATTCTTAATTTTTTAAATATTATTTTATAGATTCTAATGTATATTCATCTTCTTTTCCTTTCAATAATAAGATCTTAATAGCTTATTTTTTTGTTACAAATCTTCCTTTTATTCTCAGCCTATTATCTGCTACTTTTTTTCTTATATCATATGATATTTTTTTATACCAACTTTTTTTAAATTATTAATTTATATTATTTTTTTATTTTATATATACGTTCTTTTTTTTTCTTTTCTAAATAATTTCTTATTTTTTATTATCTTTCTAATTATGTCAAACCTCCTATTAATTTTTTCTGATTTTTTTTAAAAATAAATAAATTACATATATTTTTATAATTAATTTTATTTACATTATACGATGAATCATAATCAATATTTTATTCTTTTAATAAAATAAAAATTTATAAATTTAAAATAAAAAATAAAATTATATAAATAATAAAAATTATTTTAATAAATAAATAATAAAAAATATTAATAAACATAATAATTATTAAATATGTTTTTATATTAATTAATTACATGTATTATATTTAGAATTTTCACTATATATTGGAGTTGTTAATAATGTATCAGAATCTATTTTTATAGGTGTTTATTTAATTTATTATTAGATTTCTTTTTATAATAATTCGTGTTTATTTTACTGCATTTATGTTTAATTAATGTTTTAATAATTTAAATCCTCTTATTTAACTTTTGTATTCTAAAATTCTAACTTAATTCTATTTTCTATCATTTAATTATTATTATTAACTAATCCTAATTACTGTTCATTAAAATTTTAATCAAACTCATTTTAGCAATTAAAGCCTTTATTTGTATTTAGATTATTAAAATATTAAGGGTATTATTATTAATAAAGAAAATTGTTATGTACCAAATATTAACTTTAATGAGGAGGATAAAATATCATATTATTGCCAATTTCATATTAATTATGTAAATAATTTTAGTTATATTTAAAGTTGTAATCAAAATAATATCGATTAGGCGATATATTCATTTATTAGTGATTAATTTAATAATTTAGGTTTACGTCATTATCGTACTTTAATTCATTTTATAAATAATTTTATTAATAGTATTCGTATTAATTAGATATGTTTTCTAAATAAAATTATTATTCTTATTTTATTTTAACATCATTAATCATATTTTCTTTTTAAAAAAAAATATATTTTATTATTTTTATTATATATTTTATGATTATTTTTATGTAAATTTTATTATAATATAAAAAAAAAAATAAAAAAAAAAAATCTATAAATATATTTTAAATAAACTATTTCAAATAATGATTGTATTTTTATAATAAATAAATATATATCGATAAAATAATTGATAAAGATTATTATTTTATAATATAAATGTAATTTAAAAACATATATAAATATTTATTTTATATTTTTTATTTAAATAATAAAATAAAAATGATATAAAAGAATAAAACATTATATTTATTTTATATTAATTATTTAGTAAAAATATAATATAAAATTATTTATAATATGATTATTTTTATATCTAATATTTCTTTTCATAAATATATGTTTTTTTTTATATATATTTTTATATAAAGGTCAAAATAATCAAAACTAAAAATAATTTATTATAAAATAATAATAAATTTTTAAAAGTGATAAATATAAATATGAATATAAATAATGTTATTTTTATAAACCGATTTTAATTATATTGAAATGTTAATAATTAAATATAAATAATAATTCTTTTATTAAATGTTTTTTTTATTATTCAAAATTCTTTTTTTTTTATTTTAATTTTTTAATATTAAATAATTATATTTATATCTAATAAAACTAACTTTAAATATTTTTTTATATAATTTTTCAGGCTATTTTTAATTTATTATAGAATAAATATATACCATTAAAACAGATTTAAATTTATTATTAAAAAAAAATATTATATTAATAAGTTAATATTTAATTAAAAATATTAATTAAAATTAAAAAATATATATTATATTTTAATAATTATACACATTTATTTTTATATTTGACATTATATACTTATTTATAAAAAACTTTTACTATATTTATTTATAAATTTTTTATAAAATACTATATCTATGAATAAAATTTTTATTATTTATTTTAAAATAAATTTATAAAATAATAGAAATCAAATGATTTATTAATTTTTTTATTTTAACCTTAAATTATAATTTATTATTTTTATTTAATACATACGTAATTTTTTTTTTAAATGGTTTGAAATTCACTTATATACAAAATAATTTTAATTATAAAATTATTAATATTAATCTAAATTTAAGATATTTTTTTAATTTTTTAAATAATTTTAATGGTTTATATGTTTTTTATTTTTTTCATGTATTATTACTAATTGTATCATATTTAATTTCATTTTATGTAATTTATCTATAATTAATAGGATTAATATTCCATTTAATAGAAAGTTATATAATATTTTTCAATAAGATTTCATTATATAAAATAATATTATTATAATTTTCTATAGTGACTAAATATTTCTAAAGAGTAACATCTTCTTATTATTTATTTTTTGAATTATTTATTGATTTTAACAATCTCACATAAATTTCATTAAAAAATTATTCAAGATAAAGAAAATAACTAATAATATGAAATTTGTAAACCAAAATTAACCAAACAAAAAAAAAAATTAAAAAACAAAAAAAGTAATCAAAAAAAAAAAAAATTTAAGTCGCGATAGATTCTAAAGGTAAAACAGGTAGCCAAAAGTTAACTATTTTATATTAAAATTTAAAAAATAATCTATAATCTAATTATAACGTTAAAAGGATTAAATTATATTAAGTAATCAATAATACATATATTAATTATGGAATTGTTATTATAATATTTAAAAAAATTAAAAATTATAAAAGAATTAATATATTCCTTAATTAATAAAAGATTTATTTTATCTTAAGAAAAATTAATTATTATAATAATAAATAAAAATGCTATGTTAGTTTCATCTATTTTATTGGATATAATTTTTTTAAAGAAGCTTATATACATATATAAGATAATATAGACTGATAAAAATAATTGAATAAAAAAAAACTTAAATAGTTAAATAGACAAATTTTAACTCGATTCCATATGATTTAAAATTAAGAAAAAAAAAATATAAATAAAATTAGAGAAAATCGTAAAAATAAAATAAAATCCGAGTACTTTTTTCAATTTAAAATATTCTTTTAAAACAAAATAAATAATAAATAAAAATCCAAAAGTAATAGTAAAAAGATAAAATTATTTAAAAATAATTTTCTATATCTATTCAGATTAAATATTTTTCAGATTAATTTAAAAAAAAGTATTTTATAAAATACTGTACTAATAATTTTTCTAAAACTTCATATTTTTTAAACAGTATTTTAAATAATATAAAATAAAATAATTTATCAATTAAAAATGTCGTAATGTCTTATGTTTTGAGTTTATTTTTCTTATAAAAATGAAAGTTTCGATTTTATTATTAAGTCTATAAAAAAAAAATATTAATTAGCATTATTGAATAAAAGTCCTTATTATCTTAATATTTCTAAAATGATAAAATAATAATATTTTAAATCTTATAATCATAATCCACATTATTAATAATCATAATCTCCTTTTCACACTCCTCTTCTTAATTTTAGAAACTTACACATCATTAATTTTTATCTTACAAATCACAATTTTAAATTCTATATTTATTTCGTTGATAAATAAACCTTTTTATAAATAAAAATTTTAAAATTTCTATTCAAAATTATTAAAATGAAATGTCCTTTTATCATTCTGTAAAAAATTAATTCTAATACATTTAAATCATTTATTAATATATTTTTAACAATAATTTTATTTATCAGGAAATTCATTAAGTGAGTATTTTTGGATACGATTTTCATTTTAATATAAATATTTTTAATATCTAATAGTTATTTAGTTTTTCAAATAACCCAATTCACGTCAAGAAACACAAAAATTATGTTAGTCGAATAAAACGAAAGTATATTTAAATTTTCACCGAAAAATTTCCCACAATATCTATATAAAAAATAATGTTTTTTATCAAATATTGTCTAAAAAAAAACCACTAGTTTTGGTATTAAATGTTGCCTTTTTTACACTAAAGGCAGCATATTAAAGATAAACATTTGATAAAAGAATTTATAAAGGCAGTATTTTAAAGAAATAATCTGATAAAAAAATTTATACAATGCATACATTTTCTAATTACATAAATCCAAATATCCCCATCTAAAAAATAACAAATAGAACTGATTTTTTTTTACAAAATATGACTATCTACACTTCCTTGTTTTATAGATTTTAAAGGGTCACTAATATATTTAGCACAATTTTGGGAACCTTATAGAAATTTTATATCATCAGTAAATTAATTATATTTATATAAATTGCATCTTCCGAAATTTCGAAAAGAAACAGGAAAATTATTTTAACAAATTATTATTGTAATCTTTAAAATAATGCAAATATTTGTAAGTAAAATACACATTTTGTAAACCACCATAATATTAAAGATGATCTAAGTAGTATTTTAATTTAATAAATGTTAGTTTGTTAGTTTTACCAATATAAAAAGGCGAAGGCTATTAAATTTCACATTAATAATAAATATTATTACTATTTTTTATATATATTGAAATATAAATTATATAAACATTCTATGTAATTAAATTCATTTCTTCTTTTACATTTTTAACATGCTTAAAATCATTCTATTTTTAAATATAAAAAAATCTTAGTTGATATCACTGGGGACAGCTTTTTATTGAGTTAAAAAATAAATTTATATCACATTTAGTATACTAAGTATCTAATGGTATTTTGAATGGAAGAACAGCATTATTTAAATTAATTTTAAACATCGATATAATTTCTTTGTTAAATATATTTACAAGATATCTACTTTTAGTTGTAAAAGGTGAGACCGATAATATATATCGTAAATTAATCAAAGACTTATTATATTGCATGTTTTACAATAAAGGTTACATTTTTGATAATTTAGGCAGTTAAAGAGTAATAAACCTTTAAAAATGTTACAATTTTCATATATTTTTTTCGTAAAATTATAATATATATATCACATTTTAAACATAAAGAATAATTATAGGAATCAAAATTTTTTTACAAAGAGTTTATTTTTTAGGAAATTTAATACATTTTTGAATAAAAAAATTTAATCCAGAAATTAATTGTTACATTACAACTTCATATGTAGAATGGCATTAATTTTATTATTATTTTTTACATAATTCGACTTCTATATATAATAATTTTAATCAATATAATAATAATAACAGATAAACTAATCATATATACAACGAAAACAAAATAATTTTTTCTCTCATTTTTATAGCCAATATTTTATCGTCTTCACAATAAATATATGAGTCATCACATCATTTCTAGTGATAAATATTAATATAATTTTTGATTTTTACATAATTAAATAATCCAAGCTTATATTTCCGTTTAAATCATCAAAACATTTCCCATATTTACAAATAAGGTCTGTTTAATGTTTAACACATTGGCCGAAACTAAAATCTTATAAATGATATTATAGAACTAAAAGTTTTTTTTGGTTCGAGTACAACAATAATCAGTAGCATGTTTCACATACCAAATTATAGGCAAAATATTAAATTATAGGAAACATATTTAATATTTCAATGTTTATAATATTGGTATTTGTTGCATGTTTATAATTGTATAATTATCTATTTTATTAAATTTTGATGTTTATATTATTATTTTATTAATATTATGTTTTTAAATTGCATTTTTTACTATATAATTTTTTAAAAATGAATGATTTATATATTTCAAGTTTATTTAAAATTATATTAAATATAAAAAAATGTAAGAAAATAATTTTTATATATTGCTTATTAAATTTTATTTTTTCTGTTTTTTTTTTTTTAAAAAAAAAATAAAATGCACAAATAATTTTATTTATTTATTAAATTAAGATTATTTAAAAAAAAATACAATTCTAAAAAATATTAATTATATATATATATATATATATATATTTA